TTGACATCAAAGATAATAACTGCAAAGCATTTAAGATACATTTAAGATACATTTCTATAACTATTAGTTAAATATGCTTGCTTTCATCCTCCTTAGGTGGCTCGTTGCTAAACGTAACATCAGTGTCTAGACGTGGCATTTTTGCACCGCGCATATAAAGTACATTCTCCTCTATGGGCGCGGATACACCATCGTAGCTCTCCACGAACTGCTGGAACTCTTGACTGAATTGATTCCAATGCAGGAGCTCGCTGCTAGCTTTTCGCTTCAGTTCACCTGTTGTCGTGGTCGGCGAGGTCGTCTGTGCCGGCGGCAACAGCTTTAGGGTTTGCGACTCGGCGAATAGCTTACGATTGGACTCCAGGGCGAGCTCCACGAAGTGCATCGTTACCTCAAGGGCTCGGCAGCAACGAACGCAAATCTGCATGGGCCACCTGTAGCCGCCGGGTGAGCGAGCCGTTAATGGTAGATTCGTACACTGGCGTAGGCCTTGACCATAGGTGCGCGCATTTTTCAGATCCGGTATTTTTGCATCCAGTTTGACGGTCTGGCGACTTACTGAGAGGCACGCGCGGCATTTTGTGTTGTTCACTTTGTTCATAGCAAGCAGCGCGTTGGATTTTGCAGCATCCGCTGCGGCGGCCATTCGTATGCAAGTCAATTGTCTGTATATACGCACGTAAAATCTGTTTCACTGTATTTATTTGTTTAAAATGAGTTATTTGTATGGATTACAATTTGACAATGCCGCATTAGCTTTTCACTTGTTTTTTTCGCACTCTCGAAATATTAGAGAATCTTGAACAAGAGAGTTTAGTGTGAACTGAATCGATGCCTTATGAACAAGTTCCACGGCATAGCAACCATGTTTATTTGAATGGATATATCTACCATTTCAAAATGGGTACAAAAAAAAACTTATAAACGGAATTTATTAGTTTTCTTATGATAACTCAAAAGCAAGAAAATTATTACTATACTTCAAAGAAATAATAAGCGGATCCCTGAAGCGTTTAAATTCTATTCGATATTCACTAACATTTATCGATAGTCATTTACGATATGTCAAGATAAATTCATCATTGACCCGCGTAAATCGAAATAATTAAATAAAATATTGAAGAAATCGATATGTTTTAAATAAATTTATTATTTGACAATGCCCTTCTCGAGCCCAAATAAAATATCATTTTGAGTTCAAAATAAATATCATTTAAAGTTTCGTTTATATTAATTAGGTAATGATGGACTCACAAGTCCAATTTAATCAGCTAGTTAAAGAAATACACTTTTGTTTTAGAAAAGAATTGTCTTTAAAACTTAGGTTTGGATAGGTTAATATCTAAGTACTCTATATTTATACAAAATATGTACATATATATAAGTTATACAGATACTAATTAATGTACGCATTGATGGCAAAGACAGCACTTCAAATTGATGTAGATGCATTACTAAATAATTAAACTTTATTACTGTTAACAAAATATATTTAAGTAATGATGCAAGTATATTATATAATGTGCTTTACATGAATGTTTAAATCTTGGAGATGCTAAATAAAAACTGAGTTAATGCTTATAATGTCTCTAYGTAACCATAATAATAATACCTTTTCACAAAGGTATGAACAAATAACACTCGATTTACTATTTCGATACGCATATCTTAGATATATAACTGGATACTTATATATCTAAAATATAAGCATACTTGATTGCCATGTTAAGTGTAACTCTAAAATAAGGTATGCATTAAAGCGTTTGGATGAGTGTTACATTGTATGCTTATACTACAAATATCTTTGTACAGGTTGCCATTAAATTACACAATTCTTATCATTTTTACTTTCAGCTTGATGCGTCAGATGGCTGGCTAGTCAGACTGGTCGATCTCAACCCTCAACGATCTACGCTCACGAAATTTACCCAAAGTCGGTATATCATTAATGCAGTAAATTTGATCAATCTCCTGCTCGGTCAACTCCCACTTGTGCTCACGTAGCGCATGTCTGCGAAAACTAAAAAACCAAACCAAAACAATTTGTATTCAAATATAATTATTTCGAAATATATAAAGAATAAATCAAAACTTACGGATTGCGCCTCATATAGGTGCGCACACATTTGGGACACTTGTACGAGTGTGTGCTCTTATGGCTGGACATATGATTCCTGAGATGCAGACTAGTTAGCATATCGCGTCCGCATTCCGGGCAAATATACTGCACGGCCGTGTGGGAGGCAGTCTGATGGCGTTTCAGATGATGCTTGTAGTTAAATGTCTTAGTGCAGCCATTAATGCCGCATTTGAGAGGCGTCTGTGCTCCGACGCTATGCTCCGCCAATAAATGCGACTCCAATTCGGATATGTTTGCAAACTCTTTAGGGCACTGTTTGCATGGAACTTTTACGGCAGTAATGGCATGCCGTTTCATGTGATAGTTAAGTAGCGTTACAGTGCGGTATGTTGTATTGCAGATCTTGCACTGATGCTGGTAACTATTGCGCGCCGATATTATGCCACTGGAATGTTGCTCCAGCTCGTGTTGCAACAGTTTGCTAAGCTCATCGAAGGTGTGATTACATTGCTTGCACACAAAGATAGGGGTACGGGGTAGGCGCGAGCGAAGGTCTTTAACTGGCGATGGCTCTAACGCAGCAGTTAGTAGCTTATCGGTTCCATTCAATAGATGACTGTGATTGGGTTCAATGCTGAAGCTGTCGCTGTTCTTAATGGCCGTGGCATGCTCTCCATCGCCTATAAAATCAAGATCGAAGTCAAATGGAGTGGGTGTTGGAAAGAGTGCTGAGCCAGCAGTTGCTGTTGTTGCTGGTCCTTCTTCACTTGTTGCTGTTATTGATGGTGTTTCTGCTTCTGTGGTGTTAGTGTTTGCTGGTTCTGTTGATCCAGTAGGTTCAGTAAGTTCAGTTGTGGTTGCATCGATTGTGTCTTTTGGTGCTTCGATTTGTGTATTTGTGGTTACATTTTCCGTTGTGAATCCTGTGTCCCTGTCTAGCGACGATGAACAAGGATCATTGAACATCAGCGTAGTTAAGAAACATTTTTAAATTGTCATTTGAAACGTTAAGTTGTTGCAGTTGTTGTTGTTCCGGCATGTGTTGGGCATATTTGGAATTTGAGTTTGAATTCATTGTTGCTACGCTATTGACCCTCTTACCGCATTTTCCATTGCCATCGCCATCGCCGTTGCCATCGCCTCCACCGCTGCCATTGCCATCACCATCCACAGAGTCCGAGAAATGCTGCCCCAATATGTTCGAATCTAGTGTAGTTGTCGTCCCCGATGTTGTTGTTGCTGTTGTTGATATATTGCCATCACTGGCGTTGAGCGGCAATGTGGTTGTTGCCGTCGATGTGGTCGTGGTTGCCGCTGAACTAGTTGTCAATTGAGGCGCCTGCATCTCAATAATTGTGTCCACTAAATGGCTACGCTGCAGATGTCTTATAAGCGTGCGCTTAGCCGCAAAGGACCGAATACAGCGTGGACAGTCATAAGGCAATTCTACTCAAAGAAATTGCTTCAATAATTCATGCTTTATAAATTAATCCCAATATTGTTACTTACTGCGTATGATAAACACCTCATTGGCATGCGTAGACCCTGTACAAATTTTCGAGGAGAATGGTTTGTTTAAATTTATTTTTAATTTTAATATAAATATATTTACCACCATCGTTAATGCCATGATGCGCACTTAAATGTTTGCGCATTTCACCCTCCTGTTCGCATTCAAATGGACATTTAGCACACATTACCATAGGATCTGAAAAGACAATGGAATAACATAAGTACTGAAAATGAAAATAGACGAATTTTTAAAATATGGACTTAACTTTCTGATCTTGGTTCACGCACTACAAAAATAACTTCTAGACATATAAATAAATTCTTAGGAGTTAGATGAACTCGCATCCTTTTTTATTATCGGCTATTCCACACTTGTTTCTCTTATCAATTTAAGGATGCCCAGCGGATCCCTAAGACTATCAGTTTGACTTCTTAATTTTTCTTTTATCTATCTAACTTTATATATATTCGTGATATGATAACACTCTATTCAGATACTCCAAGTACTTACTTTTGTCAACGTGAACATTTATCTTCTCAATGGCTGTACGGGCCACAGAAACCTTGTCGCCCTTGGCCTGCACCATGTCCCGTGTGGGCATGCGCTTATGCACCGTCTTATAATGTCGAATGAGCAGTCGTTTCATATTATACAGATTGGTGCATAGCTCACAGCGATACGGCGCCAAACCTACAGAGCAACAACTCAATGAAGTTAAACAAAGAACAAACATTTACTAGATTCACTCACCGCGGTGCACGAACATGTGATTCTCGAACTTATATTGGCTGGTGAACTTCTTATTACAATGGATGCAATATGGTTTCTGCAGATGCTTCGATTGTTCATCATCGAAGTCGTCAACATCGTCATCGTCACTGGTAAGCAACAGATTCTGATCAGCAGCCGCATCGTTGTTATCATTTTCATCCTCATTTTCAGCATCCTCCTCGTCTTCATCTTCTTCGCCAACCTCGACATCTTCAAAATCCTCGAATAAATTTTCCGCATCAAAGTCCAAACTGATATTATTGTTATCAATAACAATATCATCTCCATCAACGACAGGCATATCATCGGCGGGTATAGTACAAATGGCAGCCACATCGGTATTATCTATAAAATCTTGCATATCACCAAATATACTTGTGTTTGGATTTGTTGTGGCCGATGTGGCGATTGCCGCACCGTTGGCGTCTGCTGCAATTGTTGGCGGTGTTGTTGTTGGTGTTGTTAGGCTGTTAGCAAACGATTGCTCTGGGAACATTGAAAATGTATTTGACTCTGTAGCTGCAGTCGTTACTGATGTTGTCGCATCAGTATTCGGTAACTGCTCTGCAGTTGCTGCATAGAACAATGGTGTGGTATCCACCACAACATTTAGCTCATTCATAGTTGTTCCCACAGTTGTTGTTGTCGTTGTTGACTCCAGAATTTGTGGCGCACACGGAGTTGTTAATGTAGTTGAGGCAGTGGATGCCGATGACGTCATTGAAGGATCTTAAAATAAAAAATTCTTTGTTTAAATCACACTAAATTGGTAATTGAAATTATTAGTCTTACATTTTATGGCAACTGGAATATCAGGCTGGCTGGAAGCATTACCACTGTTTACCATTGTATTAGCGCCCCCCTGCTTCGGCTCATGCGTCCAACTGGGACGCAGTTGCACCTCACTGGGCACTATTAGATGTTTATCGCTGTAGTGCACACGCAGTTGCCCACTGGTTGCCGCCTCGAATAGACACATATCGCAGGAATAAATGCGACTTTTATCTGCCGGCAAAAGTAATTGGGATCTATCCAAATTATTCGAACGATTATCGCCAACGCTGGACTTATGTTCCGTCGTATAATGCTGGATGAGATCGGCGCTGCGTAGCGAATAATAGGAGCACTGATCGCAATAGAATTTTGGCAAATCTATAAAGAAACCATTGTTAAGATAAATAAAGTGCGCTTTCTTAATTTACATTGACTCACGACTATGCGTTAATTGATGAGATTTCAGACGTGCCATCGTGGGAAATGCTTTTGTACACAGCTTGCATTTATGTTTCAGTGCGCCAGTAGACGCGGGAGCTGGTCGTGCCTTCGGCTTGACTACAAATAGAGAGCAAATCTTAGTTAGCAATTACTAAAATGAGTAAATGCGTTGTAGGACACACCTTTTATCTGTGGCAATACATTGCCCACAGACATATGACTTAAGTCGATGTCCATTGCACTATATGTCAAGTCAGGCTTGGAATCATCCAGTAGGGTCTGTAATGTCATGTTAGGTGCCGCCCCATTGCCGTTTTTGCTGTCGTCAATGTACTCGAATACCACACCGCCATCATTTACTTGCTGCAAGGAGCCATCGGGCATGACCAGAAACTCGGCACCTATGCTTACATTGCCGCTATTGCCACACCCTATTGTTGGCTCAGGCGCCTGGCTGGTGGACTGCACGACGGGCAACGAGTTCGCCAATTGTTGCTCTATATCACGCAGCTGATCCGCATCAAGTTGAGGATGCGAAAAATCTTCTGGCGTCAGCACAGTGGGAATCAACAGTTCCATATCCTCCAGAGTGCAGACCTTCACTTGCTCTTCGCCATCTCCTGGTTCTATTGGTAGTTTTGGCGGTGATTTTATTGCGTTTGCAGCTGCCTGCATGGATCTGCGGATCTTGAGCTGATGCTCAATTTGGGCAGCCGTCAGGCCATGTATTTTGCGATAATGTTCCAGCAGCTGGCGGTGCTTGTACGTGACAAAGCTGCACAATTTGCACTGATGAGTCGATGCATCTGTATGAGCGTCCGGATTTGAATGTGCGTGCGTAGAAAGTACAAAATGTTGCAAATTAGTTTTAAGTCACTTTCAACGTAGCGATATTCAATGCCAATTACGAATTAGCACCACATAGGTAATAAGTACGATTAAATAAATAGCATACATATATATAGTTTGTAGTAGTCGTAGCAATATGGAAATCAATATATAAAAGCAATACAAATGAATTAACTTAAATAGATTGAACATTTTTCAGTCTATCCTCGACTGAGGCAATGTTTCTCTGCATTTTCTAAATTTGAGTTTATTACTCAATTCCCGACACAATGTCGCCAACTATTTGACAATTGGACAATAACAGAGTCGCATCATAATAACAAACTGTCAAAATGCACCTGAGTCATCCCTTTCTTACCTGCGTGCATGCGTATGTGCTGCTTGAGCTCCATGCGATTGTATACCATGGTACCGCATACTTTACATTCGTGCCGCGTCATGGACTTTTGTGGCTTTTGATCCCAGAGTCTGGACTGAGACGCATCCTCGCTCTCGTTGGACTGCAATAAAATCAAAACAAATGCTTGAAACACACACCCACACACACAACCACAGGGCCTCTCACACCCACCTCGAGCCTTTGTGTTGGCTGTTGACCATTGGAACGCGTCGAGTTTAGCTTTAGCTTGCCGGGGCACAGTTTCCGACAGAGTATTTCATGTGCTCTCAGTCCGTTCTGTATGAAATAGTAGGAGATTTGCAAACTCTTACTACACTCCACGCATATGTATTGCGGCAGCTCGGGCTGATTTTCGATGCGCATGCAGAATAATAGTAAACGCAGCAGGGGTATTTTTGTAGAGGACGCGTCATTTTCGCCACTGCCGCACTCGATTAGCGAGTCTAGTTTGTAGAATTCCGCCTCGGATTTAAGGCAACAGCGACACGAAAATTTGTAATTCGTTTCCATGCCCTCTGTTTTTAATCGCTTGTTCGCCATGTTGGCACATCTAAAACGGTTTAGAGTTATGCGGCGACGGTGGCTATTGCTTTTATTGACAGCATATAAACAAAAATTGAAATTATTTTGTTGTGTCGCGCACTAACGCAAAAATAGTGTTCATCTAGCCGTTCTAGAAGCGCAGACATTAAAAAAGCATTAACAATGTGACGCCGTCGCGTTAGTTCAGGGTTGCAACTGTATTATCATTTTGTGTGAATGACAAATAGTGATTAAATGTTATCGAAGCCTGAAAACTTACTTTGATAAGGAAATACAAAACAATGCAATTGAAAACTCCAATTTATTTATTTATTTTTTTAATGCATATTTTAGCTTATTTTAAATGCTAATTCTGCAGCAATGAGTGTTAATCAAGCTCGTGTTCAAGCTCCACGGCATGCATTTTTTTAATATGACACTTAAGCAAATGGTTTTCACGATATTTCTTTGGACAATACGGACAATTCACCGCGGGCGCCAAATGTGTGCGTCGATGCACAGCCAAAGAAGAGCTGGACTTGGTTGAAACCCCACATAATTCACATGTATATTTGCGCTCTCCACTGTGCGTCGGCAAGTGTGCGCGCAAATCCCACTTGTTTGGGGCGCAATAGCTGCAAAAAGTACACTGCCAACGGTTCGACTTATCTTCATGGTAACGAATCCTGTGTAAGCGGAATTTACTGGCATGGGAGAAGCCCATATGACACACATCACAGACATACGGATAGCTGCCGCTGTGTGCACGATATTTGTGCCTTCGCAGGTGTTCTTCATTGTAAAAACATCGCTCGCACTCATCGCAGTTTAACATTTGAATATCCTGAGTGGGAAGGAACTCCAACAATTTCTCGTAGTAAGATTGATAGCGGCAGCGAAATCTGGAATTTGCTTTACACATTGCATGCTGCTTCTGAAACCATTTAATAAGCGCACAGACACTGCGACAGACCACTCGTGGACTGAGTGCCACATTGAAACGTTCTGCCAGCCTTTGACTTATTTCCTGGGCACTTTTCATGCGCTCTTCCTTGAAGTCTTCGTTTCTGTGGTCCTTTCGCCATAGATATTCATGTTGATGCATTTGATCAATAAAGTCAAGCAGAAGCTCTGGGCGAGTATGCTGCATGCTATAGAATGGCCGATTGGTGTTCTGGGTGGAAACTAATTAATAATAATAGAATTCATTAATAAAATTCCACTTACCTACCTGAGCCGGTTCCTTGAAAGTCAGCACGTCCTCAACTTCCGCTCCTAGCTGCATATTTAAGTCTACTTCATCCAAATTAGAGTTATCTGTTTCGGCCTCCACATCTGAACCCTCATATTCGCTGTTAATTTTTTTTAGATTTTGCAGCTCCAGCTCAACTTCGGCCTGGATTTCCAAATTCAAGTTCGGTGCGTGTTGTCCCTCCCATTGGTCCGCGGCATGGCTTGTTCTCAAATGCCTGAGAAACAGCACCCAGTCTGCAAACCCATCTATGTCGCAAAGACAACATTTAATAAAAATTTCAGCAGGTCCACCTAATTTTAAATAAACTCTTGCACTTTCTATATAATTATTGTTTATATAGACCCTGCTCATTGTTCACTTGTTAAACATGCCAACTTGTTCTTATATAAATTTAATTTGCCATTCACCCGATTTCGTTTTCCATTTGGTATTTGATAGTATATTATTATAAGTTATTGCCGGTACACAAATTGTGTACACTTCCCATTTAATTAAAATTATTAACGAAGAGTTGCACCGTTTTGAATTTGTAAAGCACTTTAAATGGCAAACAGTTATGATATACCCAGTTGGGCAGGCAAACCACCCACTGGGCTGCATTTGGATGTGCTCAAGGATGACAAGCTGGTTCAAAAGCTAATGGTTGACGAGAAACGTTGTTATTTATTTGGCCGGAATAGCCAAATGAACGATTTCTGCATAGATCACGCATCCTGTTCGCGTGTGCATGCAGCCTTTGTCTACCACAAGCACCTGAACATTGCCTTCCTCGTTGATCTCGGCTCCAGTAGGCTAATCAAGTATAATGAAACTTCATCTTTACTCATTGTAAATTGTTGACATTACAGCCCACGGAACATTTATTGGCAACCTACGCCTAGAGGCGCATAAGCCCACACAGCTACAGATCAACAGTACCTTTCATTTTGGGGCCTCTACACGGAACTACATATTGCGGGAACGACCCTCAGCGGGTGGTCAGCATAGTAATATTATGGAGGATCTGCCAATGAGCGAGACGAGCGACGGAACTTTGCTTGGTCTCCCCGAGAGCCAAACTGAGCTGGATGTACGTCAAGGCCAGGCAACCTAATACTTATCTAGTAATGCTGAAAAATTCTTTCTCACAGAACCTGACCGAATATAATACGGCCCACAACCGCCGTATCTCAATGTTGGGCATTGCCGATGACAACAATTTACGCAAACAGAATGCTTTAAAGCAGGGACGCAAGAGACGCAATGTAACCTTTAACGATGAGGAGATCATCATAAATCCCGAAGATGTGGATCCAAATGTTGGACGGTTTCGCAATCTGGTCCAAACAACTGTGGTGCCAGCGAAACGTTCACGCTATGAACCAAATCACATGGGTCTTCACACAGGTACTAGTAGTGCTGCCAGTGCTCATGCTACTCATCAGATGTTCCAGCAGAGCCTAGTCGAGATGAAACAGCAGCAGCTACAACAACAGCAAAATCAGCAACAGCAGCAGCAACAGTTGCCGACAACACCCCAAGCCGCTAGCCACTCGCCAATCAATTCATTATATCAGGGATTGCCAGCCAGCAGCTATGAGCACAAAGGCAACAGCGAATTTGAACCGATTTCCCCACTGGCCATTGGCTCAAAACTGGGTCTCATGTTACCGAATCCGGCACCAGATGTAACGCCCACATTCGAGGAGCCGCTGATTCCCAGCTCGTCAATAGCCCAAAAGTTGGCTGTGGCCAATGCTAACGGTATGTAGTATTGAATATGATTTTAATTTTAGGCCTAAATTATAATTTGTAATTTTCAGTGCGTCGCTTTGTGGATGATGCGCATGAAACAAGTGGAGAGGGCGACTCAATGTGTCCGCAGAAGAAGAAATATGCTAAAGAGGCGTGGCCCGGACGTAAGCCAATGCTGGGGCAATTGTAAACCCTGTCCCATAATCTTGGATAAACACATGCAAATAGGGTACACAGCTATTCCAAATTGGAATTTCCCTGGCGCCCTGAATGCGAATTAACTGTAACCCATTTGTAGTTCCATAACAATTTTTATGAAAAATAGAAAGAAAACTAAATTTCTTGATTACATTTTGCAGCTGTGTGGATAGCGTGGATAGGGTATGACGTCCCTAATGTTCTTAACTCCCGTCAACAGCTGAAGATAGCGCTCAAAACCCATGCCAAAGCCTCCAGTCGGCAAGCCACCATATTTGCGCAGTTCCACATACCAAGAGAGGTCCTTAGGAAATTTTGGATGTTTACTCAGTAGCTCAGCATCAGATTCACGTAGGCTGCCGCCGCACAACTCGCCTACAGAAGGCATCAGCAAATCCAGCGCATGAACTCGCTGTGGATCGCTGCGTGAGACCTTCATATAGAAGGGTTTTTGTTGTGTAGGCCAGTTGAGCACAAAGACTGGTGCTCCGCAGTGTGCGACCAAAAATAACTCTTGCTCCTTGCTAAACCCATCATCTGCACTCACAGGCGTCTTAAACTTATCTCTATTAGCCACAACCACTGCCAAAGCCTCATCATAGCTCATAACTGTCCAAGGCACCTGCATCCAATCCAAGTCTGAACTGGCATTAGCCCTACTCTGACAAAAATGCAAATCGGACGCACTGTTGTTGAGCAGGCGCTTGGTAATTTCCTTTAGCGTACACTCTATAAATGCCGCCAGTTCATCCACCTGTTCCATATATACAAGCTCCGCCTCAAACATGTAGAACTCGGCTAAATGCAGCGGCGATTTGGAATTTTCCGCACGAAAGGCAGGCGCAAACGTGTACGTATTGCCCAAGCCATAGGACATTGCTTCTAGATGCAGTTGACCAGAGACGCTCAGAAAGGCCTTCTGATCGAAATAACTCTCCTCCATGGGCACATTAGGCCGCGACATCTGCTTGAGCAACTGCTCTGATTCGGGTTGAACGCGAAAGACCTACATATAAGAGTATGGAAGGTTATTTTAAGCGAAGCAATTTTTCTGTTCTCTTACCTCGCCAGCTCCTTCGCAATCGTTTGTAGTAAGTATGGGCGTGTTTATCTGCACAAAATTCAGCTCGTCCATGTAATCGTGTATAGCCTTCTGTGCCTTGTGTCTGACTCTCATCTGGGCTGCAATGTAGTCGATACGTGAACGCAAATGCAGGTGCTCCCGCACATATTCCGGCGCATGCTGCTGTTTGGGTGAGAACGGATACCCGTCCTGCAGATGACCCTCCGCTGCACACAAATAAAATATGAGTCGTGTGTATTTATTATATGAGCTACACATGTATGTAAGTATTTACCTATTGATTGAACATTCTCAGCGTGCAATTCGTAATGCCCATTTGGCGCCACTTGTACACGACCTACGGCGCTGACTACGCTACCCGCTGTCAGCTTCTGCGTCTCCAGAGTTCGTGGCACAACCAACTGAAACTTGTCGCTAGTGGAACCATCGTTGATGTCCAAAAATATATTGTTTTTTAAACGTCGCACATTCTTTATCCAGCCCTATAATAAAAAAAATCGTAAATCACATAATAGTTAGCCAGGCCTTGTCTCTTTACCTGTACTTGTAGCGTGTCACCTGGTTTATTGGCGCCAGCTATTTGGGCAATGCGTTTAACGCTGCTATAATATCTTCTAATCAAAAACATTGCATTCACATTTGCTTGGCCGCCAATCAGCTGTTTCCAGCAAAGGCAAGTACGCTGCTCCAAATGCCGGTTGCCAAGTGAGTATGGCCGGACAAGCTTCGATAATGGTAGGTACTCAAGTTTGAAGTCGCATTTTAAAAACCCACTCTACGGAATACCCATATATATTGCAAAACTATATATATGTACGACATACTAGCTTTAAACTGCAGCGCGATGCATTACAATCGATTACGATCGATAACACTATACTATTCAAAGTTTGGCAGTTAAGTTTGTACCGTGATGAAGTGAAATTAATAAATTTCTTCTTTGAACCATTGGAAAAATTTAATTCCGTTTATTACGTACGATAAAAACGTACAATATTTATTGTTTATTTAATACTTAGCAAATATTAACTTATAAAATAGCACATAAATTGCTTTGAAAGCCAGATTTCAAGTGCCAATATAGACTGATAATCTTTACTGTTTTAATGAAACATCTACATTTCATCGGGATATAGAACAGTCAGTATTTTGCTGGATCCAATCATTAGCTAGTTTTAATAGTTTTGGATTATCCACAAATTCTTTTTGATCCTGCTGCTTGGCGTCATTATCTTTGCCACCTTTACGCACAAATGCGGCTTCGCCCCTCCTGAGAATTCCAACTTCTGCCATTTCATTCATGTTGACAGACTTATTTTCACGAAAGTTTCTAATGCTTAGGTGATTAACTAATTTTTCCACTCCCACAGTATCGGGAAAGTAATTTAAAAATTTGCCAACTTTTTTTATAGTACCTGGTAGATCTACGAGCATATCCTCATAGTTAAGATATAGCACATTTGGGAGTTGACTATGAGCCTTGGCCTCTTTTATATGACTGAAATAAGGTAGCCAAGGATCTGCAATTAGTTAATTGTGTAAATTTTTGAAAGGAAGCTAATATTGGAGATGTATACTTAATCCTTGCTGAAAATAGCGCCAATAACGTTCGAAGTCTCCCACGTAGCCCTGTGTGCGAAACAAACGATTCAGATAATAATAGGAAACAGCTACATCCTTGGGATTGCGAGCCACATAGATGATCTAAAAAAAAAAAACAATAGGAAAATATAACCGAATTTTTGTTTAGTTTAGAATTTCAGTTACCTTGCATTTATTCTCCAGGACACTTGGTGGTATCAGAGAAAAGGGAAAATGCGTTTTAATAAATCGTCGCTGACTGTGAGGTAATTCGCCCAGCGTCTCGTAACCCGGTCGCGAAATTTGTTCAATAAACTCTAGAGCAGCTGGAGAGTGACTATTCTCAAGTTGAAGCTCTGCCTTGACATCATCATGCACGAACAAGGGAAATCTGTGGAAAAGTTTATAATTAAAAGAAAAAATTCTGCATGTTTCGAATCTCTACTTACTCTAGAAAGGGAAAACGTTCAGTGAGAGGACGTTGCTGTGCCTGTGCAAAGTCCAGACGATTGGCTAGTAACCAGATTAGCTCTTGTGTCCAGGTGGTGCCCGATCGTGGAACGGTTGCTATCCATATATCATCGGGGCGCGCCTCGAAATTGTAATATTGCGCCGCATGAGCCTTATACTTGTATGGAAAGAAATAACCCTCGGGTCCAACTTGCACAAAGCCCGTGCGCTCACCTACGAAGCGTATTTCGAATAAATTCAATTTGAGTATTTCCATTTACTGCCCACCTTTGAAGTACTCTAGCAGCTCCGCATTGATGGAAGCTTCCACATCGCGAATCTCATAAGGAAATATTTTTTCGCACTTTTCCATTGCTCTACGAGACGCACTCGACAAGAAGCTTGCATTAACTAAATGCGACAACCGCCCAACTGGTTGCGATTGTGGCCGGGAAAGCGTCTTGTTAATACACGTACACACACAGACACACGCAAATATACTCTCACACACACACTCAATACATTTGGTTGCAACACTTTCGGCTACTCAGTGAAAGTGACCTCTGCGGCCGGAATTCGACAGCCGCTTGGCACAGTATTCAATTGGAACTCAATAAGTGCCTAGATAAGCGAAGTGTAATGCTGAATAAAGTAAACAACAGTAATTTGCTAGGCTCTGCAAATACCTTTCAGGCAACTACAATGAGTATTTTTTAAAAAGCGTTGCAAGCCCTAACTGTGGTCTGACATTATATGTATATAGCATATATCTATCTGAATATATGTAAGTTGCAGTAGCTAAAGTTCCTCAAGAGGTTTCTTAATGCTAATGCATATGCCACAAAATAAGTCTTAAAAAATAATAAATGCGATAAAAGAGAAATAAATTCCAGTCTCTAAATTTGTGCTCGAAATCAAAATATTAATAAAAATGGTAATAAAAGATAATAAACATTCGAAAATTTTTAACTAAGAAAATGGAGTATGTTTATACATAAGTTTACATTATTACTTCCGAATAATCAAAAGCGATTACATTGTACAACTAATTATTTTTGCAATATAATTACTTCAAGTTTTTCCGGGGGTTTTCTAAGAATACATACATATGTGCTATATACACAAACATCAAAACTAAAACTTAACTAAAACTAAAAAAAAAATGGTTTAAAAATTCGTATCTTTCCCAATAAAATCAGCAATAATACAGTTGTAGTCTAGTATACCCTTTAGTTCAAGTGCATCTTATGTAAGCAGAGACGAATGACAATCGAGTCGCTTTTAATTATGCCAAGTCTTGAATAATAACAAATGCAATTAAAACAAACACAGGCGTGTTGCGTTGATTACAGCAAAACGTTTATTGCGACTTTATTTGAAAAGTGTTACAAATATGTGTGGAATGATGCAGCTGTAGTTCTCCAATTTGTAGTTGTTTACTGGATCTAGCAGGCTGGCAGGTTGCAGCGACGCTGCTTGACCAGGCGCTTGGGGCAGGACTGGCCACCATGCTGCGGTTCGCTGATGACATAGCGATAGCCCTCGGAGTAGCCGGAGCCACAGCTCACGCTGCACGGCGACCAGTTGGACCAGTCGGACATAACGCAGTCTTTGGGCAGGTGGGTGGGCGTGTCGACATTCTCGCCACGTATCTTGCTGCAGGTCTGCAAGCAATCATTCTCGGTGAGGAAATTGTTGCGATTGCCTCGGCAGCCGCCGTAGGTGAAGGACTCGCAGCGATTGGAGTGAGCATTGTAGGCGTAGCGTTGATAGTTGCCGCGGCAAGGACCAGTCTCTGGCTGTTGCACGCATATTTCCTTGGCTTGCTCCATGTTGATGTTGCAGTCCAAGGCGTGTTGGCATTCCTTTTGTTGATGCAGCTCCAGCCGTTTGGTGCAATTATCCTTCATCGGGCCATCTTCCAGCAGCACCAAACGTTTGCGTATGGTGCTACCCAGTCCACATATAC